CATTATAAACCATATCCTTTTCCCAAAAATTTTAGTTTCATTATTTATAAAATACAGCTATACAAAAAATGAAAAAAAGTATCCAAATTCGATGGAACAGAGTAATAATTTTTTCTTTATCTATTTTGGTGCATTGGACACAAATTTAAAGTCAAATTTGTTTTATGACGACAGAAAATTTTTCTAACCTCAAAAAACATTGCTGATTTTATATATGGCAATAAAACAAATTTTTTTTTAATAAAAAAAGTAGGTCCTAGTAATGCAGCAGCATCTATATCGAAACTAAAATTTCGCAAAATTTTCCACAGTATTTACTTGAAAACAAAACAATAAAATGCTTTTTCCTTTAGGATAATTGATCATTGTCAAGAAATACACCAGCTAAAACTTTTTTTGAGTTAAAATAATGAAAAAAAAAATTAATGACGTTAAATTAAATATGAGCATATTTTCTTACGAAAACTTTTACGATATTTTCTCGGAAATAACAAAAAAGAATGCAATTTTCATTTGGAGAATTAATAAACGTTAAAAAATACACCAGCTAAGATTCACCAATCATAAAAATAACAACAAAAACTTTTTTTTAACATCACATATTAACACTATTGGTTGGCTTCCATTGCCCCCACTCGCCGTTTGTGATAATTTTCGTCAACTACCGCACCCTGCTTTAGTAAAAAAATTTAGTAACTTTTAATTATAACAATAAAGTCACTAAATTTTTACTAGAGCAGGGTGCGGTAGTTGATGAGAATTATGACAAATGGCGAGTGGGGGCAATGGAAGCCAACCAATAGTGTTAATATGTGATGTTAAAAAAAGTTTTTGTTGTTATTTTTATGATTGGTGAATCTTAGCTGGTGTATTTTTTAGCGTTTATTAATTCTCCAAATGAAAATAGCATTCTTTTTTGTTATTTCCGAGAAAATATCATAAAAGTTTTCATAAAAAAAATATGCTCATATTTAATTTATCGTCATTAATTTTTTTTTCATTATTTTAACTCAAAAAAAGTTTTAGCTGGTGTATTTCTTGACAATAATCAAATATCCTAAAGGAAAAAGTATTTTATTGTTTTGTTTTCAAGTAAATACTGTCGGAAATTTTACGAAAATTTAGTTTCGATGTGCTGCCTTACTAAAATCTACTAGGGTTAACGAACATTGAAGTCAAATTTGTTCCATAACGTCATGCTTTTTCCTAACCTCAAAAAAAAAAAATTGGACTTGTACGTTAAATTAAAAAATATCATAACTTTCATATTTGTTATTAAATCAAAAAAAGATGTGTTTTCCTATTTTTGTTATAGATTTCGAAAAAAATATTCCAGGTAAAAATTTTTTTTTATGAAAATATAGAAAGGGTACTCTGTTCCTATAGAATCTGGATTATTTTTTTTCTGTGTAATTTATTAGCAACAGTATTTAAATTTTGTAGAATAAATGAATTATTAAAAAAAAACTATATTTTCTTAATGAGAAAATGTATAATAATAATAATAATTCAGGGGTAGAAGGAAAAGGCTAAAAATTTCTTTCCGTAATATTATATACTTTTATCTCTATTACTTAAGGTTTGGAAATTTACTTTTAACACTTTTTATATAAAAAATTTCCTTAGATATTTTCCATTCTTGGTTATGCCTTTATGCTGGGTTTTTTTTGGGGTTGGTTATTTAGTTGAATAATTGGCATTTGCACTTTATAATAAAAAGTCACATCACCTCTCATAAATCTTCTCAATTATTTATAATTTTAAAAAAATATATATCTTCTGTTCACATTTGTTTTTGTTCTAATTTTTTTTTTTTTAATTTTTCTTTTGTTTTGCTTTTGACATTATTTTTAATTTGGTTTCTTTGCCTTTGTTTGATTATTTGTTTCAGGTCCTCGTGCTCTCATATCATTATTAAGATCACAATATAAACGAAATTCACGTAAAAAAATTACAACATTAAAAAATGTAATGGAACAACAACAACAACAAAGACAACGACAAACAAGTCAAAATCGAGAAAATCGTAATGTTGACTCAGACAGTAATAGTAGTAATAATAATTTTGAGGGCAATGAAAGATCATCGCGCGAAGTTGTATTTCCCGATTCATTTGAAGTTTTACCACAACCATGGGATAGAAAAAGATTTTTTGCCGGAAGATCAGAAGATGAACGACTATTTAGATGTAAATTTTGTGGCAAAGGTTATCGATGGAAATCAACGATGAGAAGACATGAAATGGTTGAATGTGGTGGGAAAGCACCTTCATTTCAATGTCCCGAGTGTCCCTATAAAGCAAGACAAAGAGGAAATCTAACTGTTCATTATAAACGACATCATCAAAAAGGCGAATTAGATGACATTCCAGTTGAAAATTAAATATCAAGTTCTTTTTTTTTCAAACAAACAAAAATTTGTTTGTTGTACATTTAGATTTTAGTTATTTAATTTTTTTCGTTTTTAAGATTATAATTTTTCAATTTTTACGAATATCAAATTAAATGAAACAATGGGTCCAATTTTTTATAGAATTTAAAATTAGTTTTAGAAGGTATTGTGGGATTCTTTTTTTTTTTTTTTTTTTTTAATCAAGTCAATATATATATATTATGGTGTGGTTTTAATTTGATGCAAATATATCTAGATAAATATTATTTATTGCATATCCCTTGCCTCATGGTGTGCTAACATTATGAACAGAAGCATGAATTTTCTTTAAATTACAAATGGCTTTAATAATTAATATGACTCAATTCGATTGTAACAATATTGTTGTTTCTTTTTAAACAAATTTTTATCTTGTCTAATTCGTATTTGGTCTAATATTTATTTAACCTGATTTGTATTAAGCCTAAATATTATTTGACCGAATTCATATATTTAGCCACATTTTCGTTTAATCTAATTTTTATTTAATTCTTTTTATGGTTCAAATGATTATCAACTATTTAATAATTTAATTATGAATTAACAAATTTTAAACATTGCACACTGGATAAATATTTTTCATGCTTTATCAATTAATGCAATTATAATAATTTTATGTCATACAATATCTAAATTACCAGATGATATTTGTAAACAAGCAGGGTTGGGATGCAAAAGCCCAAAAATATATTCGTACACTTTCCGAAAATTATTGTTGGACAAAATTTAAGTCCTACCCAACCTTGCTTTGGACGAACATAATTTTGGGCTCTTGCTTCCCAACCCTGCTTGTTAACAAATGTCATCTGGCAATTAAGATATTGTGTAATAGGAAATTATTAATTGCATTAATTGACAACGCATTAGAAATATTTATCAAGCGTGCATTGCTTAAATTTTGTTCATTTTTTAATTAAATTATTGATAATCATATTCACGTGTAGAATAAACATTATTTGAAGAGCTCCACCCAATAACGATCGAAAAGTTTGGTTATGAGCGTTTTAAAAAAACTTAAATTTTCATGAAATTTAATAACTATTACTAATTCTATTACTAATAATTCACATACAGTTGTTACCAATTTAATGAAAATTTAAATTTTTTTAAAAGCTCATAACCAAACTTTTCAATTGGTTTCATAATAAAAACGATAACATTCGGACAAATGGATTTTAATATTTTCTCCAACGTTTCGAAATCACATTGATTTCCTCTTCAGGGAGTCTAACAATACAAAAAATTATAAAATTAAATCAAAAACAAAAATACAAATATATATACATTTAATACAAAATAATAATAAATACAATAATTATAGATAAAACATGAAAATAAGAAAATAAATAAAATAAACATAATAACAATTTACTAAATAAAACGATAAAACTAAAATTAGCAGTCAGTCATTCTCACGATGGTCAATGAAATAATATAAAATAAAAGGATGAACATCCAAAAAACACCCATATCTGGAGTCAGAAATTAAATTTCAATTAATGATCAAAAAACATTTAAAATAAATAAATAAATTGATAATGAAATGAAAATAAATTAATTAATAATAAGGTAAAATAAATAAATTAATAATAAAACTAAAAAATTAAAATTAAAACAAAAAACGTACCACAGAAATAATCCATTATTAAAAATAAAATAAAAACAAATTCTAAAAAACAATAAAGAGCAATATAAAAATTGCTTAAATAACATAACTTTTCAATTTTGCCATAGATCGTTATTCGGTGGAGCTCTTCATTTTTGACCTATTTCTTATTTTGCCTAATTTTTAATTAATCTAATTCTTAAATCAAATTGAGCAAAAAAATGATTAGGTCAAGTGGCAATTAAGTCAAATAAGTAAACTGACTAAGAATTAGGTCCTACAAAGGTTAAGTCTTTGAATTAGGTTAATTAAAGATTAGACAACATAAGAATTTGTCCAAATACGAATTAGCTTGCAATAATATTTTGTCCATATAATAATTAGGTCACAATGAGTTTAGGCCAAATACAAATTAGGTTACAAAAATATTAGGTCACATAAAAATTAAGTCAAAATAAATTTAGGCCAAATACGAATAAGATTTCACAAATATTAAACTAAATAAAAAGAATGTTAAATAAAAATTGGGTCAAATGCAAATTTGAAAATTAAACTTGAAATTTAAAGAAACATTTATGCGTCTCATTTGAAATTTTCGCTTAAATTATTTTCTAAGGTTCTTTTTTTAATTACATTTATACTTATTGTAAATCTTTAAAAAAAAAAAAGTTTTAAAATTTTCAAAGAATTTTTTCTAATAATGTGAATGTATTTCTTTTACTACGTCTACGTTGATTAGGTTTGTAGAATTAAAATGAAAAAAAAATGAAGATTATTATCATAATGATTAATTATAAAAAGAGATTATTATCAATACAAAATTTTTTATATCATTGAAAATTTTAGAAAAAACAGAACAAATATTTTTTAATGAAAAAGGGGGAAAAAAATTATTTTTTAGAATATAAGTTATAAATTGTACATAATAATGATAATATAGACGTCACTGGTCTGATTATATAAAATGCACTTTGTACTTTTGTATATGGAAAAGGGTAAATATTAAGATTTTTTTTTTTAAATGAAAAAATTATATATATATATATATATCTCATCGAAAAATGGAAATGTTAATGTTTCTTCGTTATATAAAAGCAGTATTTTTTTAAATCAGTATTTAAGAGTAAGCAGCGTTGACACTCCACAAGTTTTATAATATACTCATTCTATTTTTTAATATTTGATTTTTTACCAACAAAAAAAAAAAATATATTTACAAAAACTGTTTGTAAAATTTTTTAGTGAATTTATTTAATTAATTTTTTTTCAGTGTAAGTTCTGATTTAATTTTATTAAAAATATTTTGCGGATAAAGTTTTTTTTTTTATATACTTACACGATGCTTTTATATTTATTAATTTTTAAGAGAGAAACTTTTTGTAAACTAAATATATATTGTATTTTTGTCCTGGGTTAAGGTAACATTGTATACGTTATGGGAATTTAATATTTGTCGTTACCTTTATAATTGTTTTTTTTTTTATTAATAATAAAAGGTACACTGTTGAGGGAATTATTCAAAAGAAGCTTTTTTTATTCAATCCTTTTTCCTTATATTTGTTTTGCAAACTGAAAAAATAATTTTGGTGCAGCAGCTGTCCCAAACGAAAAATTTCTATATTCAGTTAACTTCACTCATAAAAAAAACTCATGGTAAATATTTACTATGAAGTTAATTGAATATAGAAATTTTTCGTTTGGAGCAACTGCTGCACCAAAATTTTCATTGATCATTTTTATAATAATTATGCACTTATTTTGCTTATTTTTTTTATTTATGTTTTAGATCAGGAAAGAGCATTTTTGTGTATTGTATATGTATATGATTTTTTTTTAGGTTAAGAATAACAAAAAAGTAGATATATAATAAATGTGAAGCAAAATTGGTAATGTTTTTACATAATTTTTTTTTTAATATACAATTAGAACAGAATTAAAATATTGTTTCTCTTTCAGGAATATATTTCAAGAATAATGAAGAAATTGAAGATTTACCATTGGAAATAAGAATATTAAATGATAATGTTCTTCCGTTTAATATTCGACAACAACAACGTATTGTTAGTCAAGTTAATGATAATGTCAATTATACATGTAGCAAATGTGGCAATAAATATAAAAGGGCACGATCATGGCGAAGACATGAAAAAGAATGTGGAACTGTACCAAAATTTCAATGTCTAATTTGTTTACAACGATTTATGCGTAAACATCATTTAACTAGACATTTGCGAAATCTTCATAAAGCTCAACCAAAAATTATTGAACAAATTGTTCACGTATTTCCGGAATAATGTGAAATATTTTTCGTTTTTTATATTATATAATATATACACGTAACTTTATATGAATGTGTATCTAATATACAGGCCCAGATAGCATGTAAGAATGCAGCAACCTTGCGGCAAGCTTACCGCGCAATATTGCCAACTTTGCATGGAAAAATTGCCGCAATCTTGAAATGTCCCACCTGACCCAAGCTTGCATGGTAAGATTGCCGCAAGGTTACGTGCTATCTGGGGAGGGGGGGGTGATTTTTATGTTCTGGACCGTCTAAAAAATTTTTTTTTAAATTCCACTTTTTTTGTTTCAAAAAACGATAAAAATGGGATTAAAAAATTTTTTTGGAGGTCCACAACATTTACTTATTGAAACATTCTCTACAATCGTAAACTTTATTTAGTTGTTAAATGTATGTTAAAAAATTATTTAATAAATCTACCTATATTACAAAAAGATATCGCCACCGCTGTTTCAAGACTCTGAATATAGCCGCAAATCCCCCCTCCCCTCCCTCCAACCCCGTTGAGGGAGTGGATTTCCTGCCAAAAATCACCTAAATTTAGAGGTTATGTTCGTTTCAAAACTCTGAATATAGTCGCAAGCCCACCCCCCCTTCCTTACGTTGAGAGGGTGGTGGATTTTCGGCCAAAAATGATCTAAATATTGAGGTTATGTTATTTTGACGGGAGACGTCAAAGAAACAAACGTAACTTCAAAATTTAGGCAAAAATTTGGCAAAAAACGGCCAAAAAACAAACATAACCACAAAATTTAGGTCAAATTTTGGAGGAAAAATACCAAAAAACGAACATAACCTAAAATGTAGGTCAAATTTTGTCAGGAAAATGAAAAAAATTAGATAAATTTTGTTTTAAAAATTAAAAATAATAAAAATTATTATTAATAAAAATCATAAATAACATTTAAAAAAATAAATAATAAAATATTAATAATAGTTTTAAATTCCAGAAATTGGCCAAACAAACTCAAAATAGGTCATAAGGACATCTACAAAAAAAATAAAAAAAAACGGGGGGTTGGCGTAATATTATAAAAAAATAATCAAAAAAAATATAATTTTTTAACAATATATTTTTTTAATAATTGAAAAAAGTTTACGATTGTTATATTTTTTTTTTCGAAAATTATATAACTAAATCTTCTAAAATTGTTAGAAATTATTTTTTATTAAATTTTTGTTTGCGTTAAAGAACCATTCTTTAAGTTTGATCTATCTCATTAAGTTAATTTAATATTATTATACCGGAAAAAATCATTGAGGTACGAAGAATCGAACCCGGGTTCGACGCACAGAAATTGAGAACATTAACCTACCAGCTAAGATGAACAAGTGATTGGAAAAATAATTTTCTGCTTTTTGAATTAATATTGACACATTTGTTTGGTAATAATATTTTTCCGTGTAATATTGAGTTAACTTAAAATGTTAAATAAAATACAAAAAATAAATAATAAAGCAAATAAATAAAAATATCAAATATTTTTTTAAAATATTAAAAAAAAAATTTTTTTAATTTTTTAAAATATTTTTTTTAAACACAAAACTACGTTTTTTGTGAATCCAAGCAAGTCAAAGTGCAAGATTTTTGTAAATTTTCAATAAGTCTATGTATTAAGGGAAACAATTTTAATATTCGATTTTAGTTTTTGAAATTATTTAATATTTAAATTGAAATTTCTTGTTCTAAACTTACTGAATTATTTATAAATATAAGCGAACTAAAAAGAAACCAAATAATCGCCAAAGAAAAAAAAACTAGAAATTAAGGACGTAAATCTTAATTTCTTTAAATATTTTAGATTCTCGGATTAGTGAATTTAAAAAAAAATATATGAATTGAAATAAAAAAATAAAAATTTCTTTAAAATTAAATACTGAAATATAATGCAATAACTTTTTCTTACTAAAATTTAGAAAAAAATGATAATCTATATTTATATCTTCAAAATAATAAAACAAAGCGCAAACACAAAAAATAGTGTATCTAATTATAATAGTTTAATGAAAATACAACAACACTTGTATATTAAAATTTGTCAATAATAAAAATGTATTCTATATATTGAGTCAAATAAATAATATTTGTCTTATACATTTGTTTAATCATTTAAATAATTTATTTATTTATTTTTTAGAAAACAATTTTTTTTCTGAACACATCTAAATACATATTTTTTTTATTTTTAGGTAAGAAGCCAATAAGGATGATCAAAGGATTGGAATAACAACACGATTAATTGATTTGAATTAAGAAATTTGACAAAAAATACATCAGGACCTAATTAGGAGTTATATTTTTATTCAGAAAATCCCAAAAAAAAGAATAAATAAATTTTAAAAATTATAGTATATATTTCTTTTCCATACAACAATTTGATTTAATAAAAAAAAATTCCCTCTATTTCTAAATTATTGTTATAAATTATGTAATATTTTTAAAACAGGGATAAAAAAAAAAGAAAAACCTTTGCCCCGTTATTCCCTATATATTATTAAAAATTATTTTCATATATTATTGACTTAAAATTTAATTATCTTTTTATTCAAAATTTTTCCTCTATTACTGAATAAAAAAGTTTCTTAGGTTTACAAAAAAAAAAAAAAAAAAATTATGTATATTTTATAGAAAATTATTTTTATAAAATTTTTGCATTACTCTCAGCTTTAGTTAAAGAGTTTCTTAGGCGAACTATTTTCTTAAAATTGTAGAAACTAGGCATGCTTAACTAACTTTTAGAAAATTTTTCTTCCAAATTTTTTTCCAAATTACCATTTAAAAAAAAACTACATATACTTCGTTAATATAAAATATACAACTTATTTTTACAAGGGTGATTTAAAAAAATGTTTATATATTTATTAACTGTGATAAAAATTTCAAAAATTTCTGCAATGCCATAAATTCAATTATTGGTCCAAATTTTAATTTTTACATTTGGATTAAGTTGGATGAGTAATTTTTTAAAAAAATATTCTTATTATTATTAATATTATTATTGTATTATTTATAATATACACTCAGAAAAATGTTTCTTCGAATCAAAAAAGTATTTTTTTTTTATATAGGATCAAAGAAATGTTTTCTTTAATTTAAAGAAATTTTTTTTATTCTAAATAAAACTCTGAAATTGAAAAAGTATTTCTTTAAATTAAACAATTTTTTTTTTAAATCAAATAAATTTTCTTTAAAAAATTTCGTTTTCTGTCATTGCAAATGGTTCTAAAATTATTACCACAGCTAAAAAATACAAAAAAAACATTTGTTTGAAATTTAAAGAAAATCAAATTTTTCAACTATAGAAAAACCTTAAGAAGTTTTAATTAGTTTGGAAAATTGGTACAAAAAAAGAAATAATTAAAAAAATTTTGTTTTCTTTTAATTTTCCTCAATCATTAATTTAAAAAAAAGACGCACAATAGCATGCATATAATTAGAATCTTAAATTTTTTTTCTACTCAGTAGTCTCAAAAAAAAAAAAAAAAAACTTTTTTCTACCCTCTTGGAATGCAAAACACATTAACTTGGGAATTCGCTTTAAAATTTAAACAAAAATTCTCTTTTTTCTCCAGCATATCAGAAGAAAATTTTCTTTTTAATTTTTCAAAAAAAAAAAAATTTTTTTTTTATTTTTTTAAACAAATTTTAATAAAACACTAACAAAACTGGAATCTTGTGTTCCAGCTGAAGATTTAAGTATCACAAGTTTGAAATGGGCAGCGGCTATTCAAAGATTGTCCGTAGTACCCTCAATAATGTGGCGATCAACATCAAGTTTGGGAAAAGGATTAAGTTTGTCATCATCAAATCCTGAGGGATTCAGCTGTCAGGCTTGTGGCCGGGTTTATAAATTAAAAAGCAGCCTTCGAAATCATCAAAAATGGGAATGCGGTAGACCACCACAATTTCATTGTCCACATTGCAGTTATAAGGCGAAACAAAAAATGCACATCGCTCGTCACATGGAGCGTATGCACAAAGAAAAACTTTACCAGCAGGAACTGGTATAAAAAAAAAAGAAAAAGAAAGAAAAAAAACATTTTTTTTTTCATCAAAAAATCACTATCTATCATCGAATGATATAAAAAAAAGTAATTTAGAAGATATGCGAGAGCTTCGCAAAAATTTTACAATTTTGAATATCAAAATATAAGACAATTTTTGTCTTATAGCTTTTTTTTTTAATATTCATGGCTTTATTAGATCTTTCGTTTATTTAGAAATAAATTGTCATAATTTTTTCTTGATTTTAAGAAATTAATACAGACGAACTAATATTGAATTATTTACAATAATATGAATTATTATAATTAAAAATAATTATTATCTCTCTAAATCTGAATTAGTGAAAAATTTAAATTAGTATAAGAATTTTTACTAATTTTTAGTCACTTTTTACTAAAACTTTAGTAAAAAATTTAAAACTACTAAATCAACTACTAAATTACTAAAAATTAGTAAAAAATTCTTACTAATTCGAATTAGTAGCTCACTTTTCACTAATTCAAATTTAGAAAGATAATAATTAAAAATAATTATTATAATTGAAAATAATTATTATATTAATGAATAATAATTATCATAATTGTTATTAATAATAATTGATAATAATAGTTACTATTTATTATTTATATTTAGTTATTATTATTATTATTATTATTCAAATTAATTCAAAAAAAAAGGAAACTAGTTTTTAGAGTTTCAACTCATTTTTTATAGAAATTTACTAGAATTTTTTAACAAAAAAAAAAAAAATTACAAAATGAAAAAAGAGTTTACTTCTCAATAAATGAAAGAAATTTTTGATAGTGACAAAAAAAAAGGAAGAAAATATTTACAAAATCTTTTCCTCTGCGCGTTTAATAGGAAAGTATATAATAGTAAAAACAAAAAATTGTCCTCTTTTTTCGATTTTAAATGTTTTTAACTCTCTTTCTATTTGCTCTAATTTGTAGTCTATTCGAAAAAGAGAATACAATTTACATTTTTTATTATTATTATTATTATTCACTCGGGGTAATCTGAAAATTAAATATTTTATTGAAAAATTACTTTTAATTTTGAAATAAAAAATGAAACTAAAAAAAAAAAGTGGAATAAAAAAATGGAAATATATATAATCTTCACAAAGACTCGTAATTTTTATAAGAAATAATTATTTATAATCCTATAAGGATTTTATAATTATTTTCCAAACTATATAATTTCAACTTTATTGAAAAAAAAATTAAATCGTTCTATGAAGATTATTATTTTTTTTTTTTTTTTAAATAAAATATTTCCAAATTCGGATGATGATATTATAACCATTATATATTGTACTTTTTGGGTTATTTAAAAATAACTAATTCTAGAGTACGTAAAATTATATATATATATATATCTTTTTAAAAATGATTAGACTAAAAAAATTAGGTTAAAATTAAAAAATAGTAGGCACGATGAAAAAAAATTTATATTTCTAAAATTTCGATACTAATTTTTAAGTCAATATATAAAAAAAAAAAAATTTTCATGATCTTATAGGGTTTATTTAAAAATGAGAAAAAAAAATGGAATGGATCTGTGATAAATGGAACAAGAATTGAGTAGCTTTATACATGAAGATGGGATCTTACGAGTGATACTTGTTAATGTATTGTTTTTTTAAAAATTAAAATAAATAATATAATAAATATATGATATAGTTTTTAAAAATTAGTACAACTTTTTTTTTTATTATTTTTAAATCTTTTTTAAACTATAAATTGAAAAAAAATTAGATATCATCGTGCCTGTGAGAATTTTACTAAAAAAAAAAAAAAAATTTACAAATAAGTTATATATATATATATTTAAATATCGATTAGACATAAGTATAATATATTCATAAAAAATTTAAAAAGATCACCCCGAGTTTTTTAAATCTAAAAAAACTTTTGTAACAAATATTCTCAGCAAGCAAATTTTTTGCGTTGGACGTTTTGTGTGTTTATTTTTATAAAAATTCATATTTTTTTTCAATAATATCGTGAAATTTTTTTCATCGATCCAATTAATGCAAACTAGATAGAATATTTCATGATGGAAACAAAAATCTTAAATTATTCCAAAAAAAAAAAAATGAGGAATTCGTTGAAAACAAAATTTTATAATTTATGCCAATTTTTTCTTTCAAAATGGCACACAGAAAAAACAAACTAACTATTTTAGCACCAAACTACTTTATCCTTTATTAGTATGCAATTTCGTTTACCTATTAAAGTATGAAATAATGCTTTTTTAGTTTAAAGTAAGTCCATATTAAATAAGTATAATGGTTATACTCTTATAGTAATAGTGACGATGACGCTGAAGTTACCAACGTTGATTCGACGAATCGACGAACGAATTTTTCGTTTTCAGATTAGTTTAAAGGCCAAGGACCAATTTTTTTTAATTGAAACTTCTTTATTTTGGTCCCGAATACATTCTTAAATACTAAAAATTCTCAATTAAGGCGAGGAAATATTCAATCTTAGGAAAAAGAAAATTCTTTTCGTCGATTCAACGTTGGTAACTTCAGTGTCATTAGTGACGTACTTTAAAAGCATAAAATGTAAAATAGCAAGAGCTTCTTCCTTTTTGGTGGATAAATTCTTGCAACCTGCGTATTGGCCACGCCTCCCTCCCTTTCCAACCATCGATATTTCGATATATCGATATAGGCCAAAACGCAGGTTACAAGAATTTGTCCACCAAAAAGGAAGAAGCTCTTGCTATTTTACATTTTATGCTTTTAAAGTACGTCACTATTACTATAAGAGTATAACCATTATACTTATTTAGTATGGACTTACTTTAAACTAAAAAAGCATTATTTCATACTTTAATAGGTAAACGAAATTATATACTATTAAAGGATAAAGCAATTTGGTGCTAAAATAGTTAGTTTGTTTTTTCCGTGCAATAATATTGGAAATAATTAATTTTCTCAACAATATATTAATATTAAATGAGATTTTTCTTCCAGCTTAAGTTCCTTATTAAAGCAAACATGAATAAAAAAAAAAAAAATAGAGTTTAAGAATATTTTTCTACAGATACATATAATAGGTATTTTTTATTATTTTAAAGCTAGGTTTATATAAACAAGACATATTATACAATATATAATTTTGTGATTCTCACTTCTCAGACTGTCATATAAATATATATAAATAGAAAATAAATATACAAGAAACGAGTGATTCCTATATAATGCATTTAGTTATATATTTTTATAATAGAGTCCACTTTACTAAGCTTTTTTTTTTTTTTTAGTCAAGAACTATAATATTTTAGCTGATAAAAAAACCGAATCATTTCCATATTCCAAGTGACTTGGAACAAAAGACTGTTTTTTCATATAAATATAATAAAATAGCATTTAAAAATTTTGCATTAATAATATTTGGATCGATGAAAATTATTAGAAAAAATTATGAAAAAAAAAAAAGTCCCAGAACGCTAAACAAGTATTAATTTATTAAAGTAGTATTGTTCCTGTCGATATTTTTTACGCTTGATTACCCCCCATTCCCCCCTTTTACAATTACTATAGGCCAAGAATCAAAATCATCAATATTTCAATGATGATGGACTGCAAGATATTCCCTAGGGCTGTACACAAAATGTATTATATATTATATATACTAAGTAGTCTTAAACCCAAATACCCCCCCTCAGTACCACCGAATATACAAATAGAAATATATTTATGTATAATAATAGTAATACATAAAAAAATACAATACAAAAAAATACTTTCGTTTTTGCTTCTGGGTGTTTTTTTTTTCGTAAACTTATTTTTATTATGCGAAACACATTACACAAACGTCCTCTTTTTTTTATAGGTGCAAGTCTAGGAGGAATTTACGATTTTTCGGAAAAATTTCACCAATTTATTTTGAAACTTGCGGTAATATTTATTATAAAGTTTCAGAAAATCAACTTTTTTTTAGTAAAAACAATTGTTTATTGACACATAACTCTATAGCGAATTTTTAGTTAACGAAAGAATGGGTTAGAGAAGGATAGTCATATATTGTTGTTCTTCTCTTACTAATTCTTCCGTTTGCAATTACGATACCGGTTACGATTCTATTGTGCTTAGGCCTTAAAGCGTCAAATTTTTGTAACTAGACCATGAGTGCGAGGAGAACAAACGTATATCTTTATTTCTTTCACACTCATTATCTAGTTACAAAATATGCTTTAAGGCCTGAGCAGAATAGAAACATAACTAGAATCGTAAACGCAACCGGAAGAATAAGTTAAAGAAGGACAAACAATCTATCTATCCTTCTCTAACTCATTCTTTCGGTTGCGTTTGCGATTCCGGTTACGTTTCTATTCTGCTCTGCCATTTACAAAATTGGTTGTAATTTCCATTGTCACCACTCGCCATTTGTGATAATTCTCGTCAACTACCGCACCCTGCTCTAGTAAGAATTTACTGACTTTATTGTTAAAATTAAAAGTTACTAAATTTTTACTAGAGCAGGGTGCGGTAGTTGACGTGAAAATTAATAAGCAAAATTATTGGGATTGGCGGTCTAGTGACTTTTACCTACTTCGTCAGACATTTTGGTTTTTATTTCTCTTTCGCTCGTGTTAATTAAAGAAAGACGATAAAGGAAAATGTTTGTCCAAAGTAGGTAAACACCAGATGGCGTATTAAACTTTAGTCAATTCCAATTCCTACTAAAAATTAATTTCAAAATAATTTTTAAAAATTAATGTTCATTAAAAAATATCATAATTAAACATGAAAACAATAAATTTTAAATATATAACTTTGAATTTATCCCTCGATGGTATTTTCTACTCACAGAAAATTAAAATGCATTAAAATAAGCTGCAACGCTTCTTATTTTAATCCAATTTTGCTTATTTTAATACCAAAATGGATTAAAATAAGCAAAATTGGATAAAAATAAGAAGCGTTGCAGCTTATTTTAATGCCTTTT